TTTGAATCAATCTGACTGGATGATCTGGTGAACTGGAAAGTGACCTGAGACGACATGATGTGAATTGGAGCTATAGAAATAAACTGAATAGAATTGAAAGTGGAATCCATGTCATTTGCATCGGATTGATTTCAGATGGTAGAAAATATTCTGCTCTGAAAGATTAAAGCCTGATCCTCCTCAGTTAATTGTTTGCATTTCACACTTTGACCTTATGTGTGGTAGTAAAATGGTGTTAATTGTTGTAATAGGTCGATTTGTCAGCATTGGTTGATTCAGTTTCTGGATGTCACAGAACAGATTACTAACAACCACACTAGTAGCAGGACTTCCAAAAGATGCAACAGCTGCTGCCTAAAAACACCTTCAGATATAACACTCAACCAGCAGTTGTTTGCTTTAAGACAGGGTTCAGAGCTGGAGCACAGCATGAGGAGTAGGGAGCTACTGGAGCAGGAGCTGTGCTTTGGATGCCTGCTGGTGATGGACATGCCTAAATCAAAAGGAAATGGCAACAAGGCTTTGACAGGTGTGGCATGGTCGCATTCTGAGAAAAGAGAGGATGACTGCAGAGACCTGGGAGCTAACAGGTAGTACACACAGTGGCAGCCTAACCTGCTGGATCATACTGAGTCTGTCCAGGATGAGGTCTCACAGGATGGACATCATAGAAAGAGAGTTTGCACATCTCCCTCAACTCAAACACAGCATGAAGAGGCTGCTAACACAGCTAGGCAAGGGCAGCAGATTGGTCTGTACAGCTCCACATGAGGGCGCCAGAGATCAGCTGCAGGTTAGAGCACCACATGGCTCGCATGGACAGAGTGGCTGAAGAGGCTGTCTGAGAGGACCCGTTGGCGCTGCAGCTCCTATGTTTTTCAGCTTCTCCTGTTCGAGGTGAAATTCAGCTCTGCAGCCATTCTGTCGTACTGATGATCATATCAGGATCTAACACAAACGGCGACCTTGTAAACAGCAAAAAGAAACCCTTAGGTCCAGATTTCACTCCATGTGGGCCCCATGCCCTAAACCTTGTAATGCCTTGTGTCTGAACTGTTTCGTTAAGGTTTGCCGGATTCAGATCGGTTATCTGAACAAACACACTTTCTGCAATAGTATTTTAAAAACCAATTTCTGCTTGTTTTAGCATTGACTTAATCTCACACATGATTTTTATTTGTCTGTTCTGAAATCTTGAGTCTAAACATTTTATTTAGATAGATGGTCATTTGAAGACGTTCACTGTATTATTGTTTAAATGATCTGTTCCTATTACACTGTGAAGATTATTTTTTTCTCACATGAAAGGTAGGTTCTGTTTTTCCTTGTGCTGAAATTCTTTCCCCAAGTGCTCTTCATCATTTTAGTCCTTTTATTATGTTTCTCTATAATGGCACTGTAACGTTTGACGTATGATCCACTGAAAACTTAATGTGGATTCCTCTTAACAAAGCCTCTTGTGTAAGATATTACCCTTAACATGTGTACATT